AAATTAACACAATGTATGTATGTACCTTGTGTATATGCATGTATGTGTGTGTGTGTGTGTGTGTGTGTGTGTGTGTGCGGGTGTGTGTGTGTGTAAGTGTATGTGCTGACATTTAAATTATTTAAATCGTGTTGATATACACATATACCCACGCATAAACTAACAATTAGCGACATTCGATTAAATCAACGACATACAAACAAAAGTCAATAACTTCAAACCCATTTCAAAGGTACTTTGAATTTCATTTCAAAGGTATTTCACCTACATTTTAGGAATGGTATTGTACCGCCAGATGATAAACCAGTACCTGTATAATACAAAATTTCAAAACCAAAAATACTGTAATACAAGCAGAGACGTGCATGAAACTTCTTCATTAGCATCTCGTATGTTCGGACAGGCAGTTGTTGCTTACTGAAACATCTGGTGGTTTTGCAGTGTGTGTAAAACGCGCTGGTTCATTTGTATTTGTACAAAAGTGGTGTGTGTGTGTTTGTGTATGTGTGAGTGCGTGTCTGCGTGTGTGTGTGTGTGCGTGTGTGTGTGCATGCGTGTGTGTGTGTGTGTGTGTGTTGCTTATGACAATTTTCTTGTTTGCACAAATTCTGCAACACATGTTTATATGAATTAATTACATTATGTTGTCATGTTTGTATCATATAATATTTTATTCGCTACAGAGGCATACACCCAATCAAACACACAAACATATAAACACTCGAACACATTGTTTTGTATACAAACGTCAGTATTTTATAGATACTTACACATTTCATCTCATGATATATATGCATATATATATATTATATATATATATGTATATTATTGATACTTTTGTATATAAATTCATTGCATATATAGTTTGCTTGGTATTAATTATTGATAGATCATATGTTTAGATGTTTAGAATTAAATAGAAGATAGACGATAGATCGAATGACATGTTGAGTTGAATAAAATAAGAATCCAATTTTCTCAATTATTATTTATTTATTAAAATAATACTTTAATCAGTTTAATGGAGTGAGAAAAAAATTTTTATTAATTTATCATCAATTAAATTTTTAATTGAAATGTTAATAGAAATGTTAATTAAATTGGAAATCTAAGTTATTTTTTCCGAAAAGGTTTAACCAAAAATTTTTCTATTAATTTGTTATTTTAAAATGGTTTAGACATGCTTTAAAATATACTTTTCTATTTTCAAACAAGTGAATAAGTTTTATTTTTGAAAAAAACTATTCAAATAATTCTGAATGCAAATTTAAAATATTTGCATTCCATCGTCACTCATGATTGTTTAAATGTTTTTATAGAAAAAGCTTTGTGTGTGACTTATATATTATATTTTTATTTCAAAACCTCACATTGACATCTGGATGCGCGGGCTTAATCCAGAACGTAATAAATGTTTGATCAGTTTAGATTTCAATAAGCTTTTTTATGTTATTATTCAGCTAAAAAGCAAATTGCTATCAACATATTATTAATATTAGTAATTATAAATATAATAATTGTTTTAGAAATGATGGTTCGGAATTTCAACCTTTGGTGGTTATCAAATTACTTTCTGCTTTTCTGAAATTTTATCAGCGATAACTTCATCAGAAGGATGGGATTTACAGCGGTTTGAAAGAGCTGATTCAGATAAACGATTTTTTACTGCAACTCATCATCGTTTAATTCTACAAAATCACTTGTCAACGCTGACAATTTAATGAATAAAAATCAACAACAGTTTGGGATATTTTACGAATAATAATTCTCAGCGACTAATTCAACATTTGATCGTTTTTAACATCATTTGACTAGACATTCACTTCAAAAACTTTCAAAACTTTGATCATTCAGTCCATGCTAAAACACTCCAGTGCATTTTATAAAAGGATTATTTCCATTTTAACGTTTCGTCGTCTCTAACTTAATTTTACAAAAAAGGAAAGAAAAACAAAGATCTTTGGTTACTGAAAAAAATATAAGTTCACGGCAAAACCTGGTTAAAATAGTTACGTAGAAGTTAGGAATAATTTAAATGGCAGATAAAATAGAAGAAAAAGCGCCAGCAAAAAGACCTGACCCAAAACCAGAGAAAAGGGAGGATAAGAAGGAAGAAAAGCCAAAGCAGGATAAACCAAAAAGTCTGCCTTCTTCGCAAGCGAACATCTGTTTATTTTTTAAGTTTTAGAATAAAAAATTTAATAATTAGCTTATTGAATGTTTGATTTTTGTGAAATTTGTAAGTAATTCGGTTTTACTTTGAAATTTTTTGTTAACGTACAACTAAGAAGTATGTTTTTTCAGAGTATAAATTTTACACACAGGACATTAAAAGGTTTTGTAAGT